GGGGGGGCAGGCGGGAACGGCTGCACCCGCGGCCGTGGCATGCGGTCCTCCTGCACGGAGTCCGCAACTCGGGTCCGCTAAGTCCCCGGAAACCTGCGTTCGTCGCAGCTGGGTTCCGATTTTAGAGCAGAAAGGCTCATTGTCCTGAAGTCACCCAGCCTGTCTGACCACTTTGGAAGTTTCTTTATGCTCCGCGGAGCTTGTAGTCAGTCGTCCCAGGGGTCACAGGATTATTAATGCAAGAGCTTTACCAGGCGAACCTCTCTGGGAAGGGGCAACCCTGGTTTTTTGGGGGTTTGTTTTGTTTTGTTTGCAACCCTGGTTTAATTTTCTGTGAGGCGGGGGAAGCAACGCTTGAAAAGAAGGGTTCTGCTTACCCAGTGCGCTCAAACTTTAAGAAAAGTAAACACTTCACTATTGGACGGGGGAGGGGGGATTATTAACCTGAAATTAAAATTTGGTGGGAAGTAGTTGTAAGCAAGTGTGCATCGACAAAGACTGTGCTCTGGCCAAACTTTTCTTCTGGCTCTTGTGAGCACCCGAGGTCTGTCCCTGGGCTTCTCTCTGAACTTGGAGAAGCCTGTTTGAGCAAGAATGCTGCTAAATCAGTTTAGGGGAAATCCTCCACCCTGGTATCTGATCCCCTGGGCTGCCTGCAGAATAATGTGGAGTTGGTCTAGCAAGAATGCCCTCACCCTTACTTCTTGGCGATTTTCCATCCACTGACCCCCACCCTGTGCCTTGCCGGTACATCCCCATTTGTCCTTATTAGAGTCCAACTTCCTTGAGTCCGACCTCTCTCCCCTACAAAGCCCCACTGCAGTAGCCCCTCTTGAATAAAGACTGCCTTACTGTCTTTATTTGACAAGTGTTCTGAATAATTTTTTAGCAGTTTCTGATGGTATGTGTGTGCATGTGTGGGTGTGTGTGGTGAAAGAGCCATCATGTAATGATTACCTGTTTTTAAACAATCAGTATGTAATACATTCATTAAGCAATTTCATCTTTCTTCCGTGTCAGGCTCATGCGCTAATTTCCCAAGGTAATCATTTAGAACATCTATAATGCTGATTTTAAGTGTATGGTTGAAAAAGGTTCTCAGGAATGAATGTCTGATATCAGTATCAGTTTGAAGTTATCTCACTGATTTTATCCATACAGCCGAAGATTCCTCGTAAACTTTATTCTTCAAAGCAGAAGCTTTAAACGGGTGAACATAGGCACAAATATCCCTCTGTTCAGATGGAGGGTGCTGGATCTCCTTTAGAGAAGATGAAAGCTGCTACCAAAAATGTCATAAAGCCATCACACCAACCTGACGTTCCTGTCTTCCAGCTTTTCATTCAGAAGATTCTTACATAGAATAGAGGGGGAAGGAGAGGACAAACCAAAACAAAAACCAAAGTTCTTGAATAACAGGTTATTGAAGAGATGTAATATAATGGAGGATCTCGTTAGGATGCTGATTAAACTATAAAAAGACTTCTTGGTCAATCAGGGAAGATTGAGTATGTATTGTGTATTAGACAATCATAGGGAATTTTTGGTAATTTTTTAGATGTAATAACGCATTGCGGTTTTTTAAAAAAGTCCTTTTATTTCTGGGTGAAATTATCTAAGAGAATTAAAAGTACATAGCCAAGTATTGATAGGGATTGAAGCTGAGTACAAGCATGGAAGTGTGTTATAGTCTCTATTTTTGTGGATGTTTGGTTATTTTCATGATAAAGAAGATGAAATAAAGGGAGGGTAATCAGAAGTGAAGAAAATATTGTAAATGTCGTCTGAGTACCTGAGGGTCCTGATCACCTCTGATAAACATGGGCTATCACAGAGCTCCTCCCATCTTGTATTTAAATAATTCCATATTTCATCTTGAAGATAGAGCTGCTTATTCCTTCCAGTTAAATTTGGCATTTGAGTTTCAGTCCTTTGATGAGGCAATGGTCGTTGATGATCACCCAAGATCAGTTTTCAAACGATACAGTTCTTCAATCTGATGAGCATTTTAAAACTAAAAAGAAGACAAGCTTCATCCCTAAAGTCCTTGAATGCCAACGGAAAAAGCCCTGCTCTCCAGGAGCAGTGGTGAGTTTCATTCTCTCCCCTCCAATTCTCTTATCACTGAATGTGAACCTCCCAGGTAAGAAAACATCGCTAGCTGACTCAATAGCTGACAAGTCTACGCTCAAAGCACTTGGCATGCCATGATGCTGGAAGGAGTGGATGCCAGCCAGCATACCCTTCATCACCTGCAAAACTCTTCCCTGCTTTATTTTACCAACTTTTTTATTTTTAAAGATTTTATTTATTTATTTGAGAGAGAGAAAATGAGAGATAGAGAGCACGAGAGGGAAGAGGGTCAGAGGGAGAAGCAGACTCCTCGCTGAGCAGGGAGTCCGATGCGGGACTCGATCCCGGGACTCCAGGATCATGACCTGAGCCGAAGGCAGTCGCTTAACCAACTGAGCCACCCAGGCACCCTATTTTACCAACTTTTATATGTCCTCCCAAACTCACTCACCTAAGAGTATCTGTTCAAGGATAATGGAAATGCATTTCCATACAAGAGAAGCACAATCATTTTATTACAAATATGAAAGCAACTCCGATGTTGCTCCTGGAGGAGCCCTGGCCTCCCTGCAGCTTCCTCACCTCCGCCTTATGCTCACCTCCACTGTGGTTCCTTTCTCCCTTGTATTTTTAGTATTTCTTTAATCGCGTGCATTTTCAGACATATCCAAAAATAGAAAGAAATGGGGCCCCCCAGGCACCCCTTTACCCACCTTTAGCAATTACGAACACTTTTCAAATCTCATTTCATCCATTTCTCTCTGACCTAGTTTGTTTCTCCTCCCCCCCCCCGCCCCCGGAACATTTTAAAACAAATCCCAGACACCCATCAGTTCACCAGTCTTACACCCACTTCTGCATTTATCACCCTGTAGTGGAATTTGTTTGCAATGGCATTTTCCCATTGGTCTGCAAGAATGGGGTGTCCTTTATGGCTTTAGCAACCAGCACGCAAACTGACCCATGGTAGGTGGTCAGGAAACACTTGGAATTCAAATGTGTGAGTAAGGGCAGCTGCTTTATTGCCATAGACTTAAGAACATAGGTCTTGGGGCACCTGGGTGGCTCAATGGGTTAAGCGTCTGCCTTTGGCTCAGGTCATGCTCCTGGGGTCCTGGGATCGAGCCCCATGTTGGGCTCCCTGCTCAGCAGGGAGCCTGCTTCTCCCTCTCCTGCTCCCCCTGCTTGTGCTGTCAAATAAATGAATAAAATCTTAAAAAGAAAAAAAAAAAAAGAACATAGGTCTTAACTCACAGAATGCACAATGCCTCAGTCATCAAAAACATGCTCAGCCCAAGACTCATTATTTAGGACCAAGCACCTGCAGCGTTAGGACGGTGGCCACGTGCAGTGCCTGGACTTGAATCCCAGCTCTGCCTCCACTTGCGGTGTCGCTGGTATGACGGACTGTATGTTCCAGAGCCGGTGGCAGTTTCTCCTGTCCCACAGTGTTCTTCCCATTTCCCCATCTGGAGGTGGAGTTTATATTCCCTCCTCTTGAAGCCGAGTGGGCTTGTGGCCACAGTGGAAGTGCTGTTACGTGGTAGCCCGGGCGAGGTCACAAAAGGCAGGGTGGTTTCCACCTTGCTGCCTGGGGCCCTCATGCTGGAGCCCCCAGGCCCCTGGTAAGGTCCTGAGACTCGATGAGCACAGACTCCCAGCCAGCCCCCGCCCGCTTCAGCTCCTGGTTCCATTCCCGCCTATTCTAACTGCAGTTATGGTCGGACCATAACTGCCCGAGTGACCCCAAGCCAGAATTGCACAGCCACGCCCCTCCCGAATCCCTGACCCACTATGACCGTGAAAGATGATGATTGTTGTTTTAAACCGTCAACTATTGGGGTGATCTGTTCTGCAGCAAGAGAAAACCAAACTACTGGCTCTCTGTGCCTCAGTTTACACATCTTTAAAATGTTTCCTACACATTAGGCTATTGGGGGTATTAAAGAGGTAAGAACATCACTGGCACATGACAGCACTGAATAAATGCTGGCAATCATCACTTGGGAAACACACATAGTTTAGAAATCTTGCCCAACCTAATAAAGATAATATTTGCAAGATCTCATTTGCCACGCATGTTGATACCTTGAATAAGGGTTGTAATTACATAAATAAAAAATCAACTTCAAAGTTGCTAGGAGTTCTTTCAATAATTAGAGAGAAAACAGAATTTTTTAAAAATGCTTTGACTTCGCTTCTACTTCCCTGTCTGGTAAAACATGCTTCAGAAAGCAGACACAAGCATGAGGAAATTGAGTGGAAGAGAAAGTTTCTCACAAATCGGATCTTTGAAGAAAACCTGAGTATAATTAAACAATGAATTTATTTT